CTTGTCTTTAGTACTCAGTTGTAGTTGTAGGAGGCAATGCAGCATTCACGGATCTTTTTCAGTTTTTTTTCCTGATTTTCACGTTTCTTCAACCATCCCATCATTTTTTGATTGAAACTTTGAGAGGTGTGTGTTATTTATGGTATTTTCAGTTCGTCACACAAAAGACATGCACACAATGAATGGTAAGGCTATGAGAAAGACACACCCCCACCTGCACAAATCCAAGAATTTGAGAAATTAAGCACTTCCATTCTTTTTATTAACGCAACTCCATATTTGTGGCCTAGGGTGGCAATTTTTAACTTAACAAAACGGCACAACTTGAATTCGATAAAAATTTAATGACGTGAACTCGATTATAACTTGAATTTGAACTCAAAAATGATTTAACACACGAACACGAAATACAAACAGGTCATATTTTGGTTCAATTCACCAAACTCGAAATTGACATGATCANTAAAAATTTAATGACGTGAACTCGATTATAACTTGAATTTGAACTCAAAAATGATTCAACACACGAACACGAAATACAAACAGGTCATATTTTGGTTCAATTCACCAAACTCGAAATTGACATGATCAACCCATTTATTTTATCATGGCGACACTAACTCGACAAATGACCTGTTAATGACACAAACGCGACTTGATAATTTTTTATCCAAAAATGACATTCTCAACCAATTTATATATAGTATAAAAAGAAAATATGATCTCAATTCAACAATATAGTGATTATTCTTCCATTGTGGGGTTTGAGGAAATCTATTTTAAATCTAGCAGCTTCAAAATTATAATAACTTTAAAAAGACTTAGTTAAGAATGGACACATTATTTATCTTCTCGTTTGTATAGTAACAAAAAATTAACATGTTTAACTAGAATTATAGAAATACAATATTAATTTTTTTTATCTATTTATTAAGCACTGACATAATTATTGTATGAAAAAAAATATTTTTACTTATTATTATTATTATAATGTTTATTAAGTTAATTTTTAATAGAAAAAATATAAACATGAATTCAATTAAATTTTAACGTTAAATTTTTTATTCAAAGTTTTATATAGGTCAATATGAATATGAACACAAACGAGACACGAAAATAAACAGGTCAACGCGACACTACACGATTAGTTAAATTAGTTAGATTAGAGTTGACTAATGTTCGATATAAACCCATAATAATTGAACATGACACGACTCGATTACCACCCTTACTTTGATCCAATGCACNTGGACACATTATTTATCTTCTCGTTTGTATAGTAACAAAAAATTAACATGTTTAACTAGAATTATAGAAATACAATATTAATTATTTTTATCTATTTATTAAGCACTGACATAATTATTGTATGAAAAAAAAATATTTTTACTTATTATTATTATTATTATGTTTATTAAGTTGAATTAGAGTTGACTAATGTTTGATATAAACCCATGATAATTGAACATGACACGACTCGATTACCACCCTTACTTTGATCCAATGCGCAGTCATATTATTCACCCTAATAAATTCTGGTGGAATAATTGTTGATTATCCTCACTAATAAGTACAAGTCAATCGATCAATGTGCTAATGCCTAATGCTCGGTTTAATGCGTACGTTAGCTGGAATGGTTGTGGTGGTAGGCAAATATGACCCGCTTAAATCTTAATCATTTTTTGTTTGCAAGAGTTTCAAGTAATGTTGACTTCAAAAACCACACCCACAGGGAACAATACCGTAGGCTTATTCCATCACGTCTGTCCGTAGTGCGATGTAATTATTTTAAGGATAAATATACTGATGAACTTGTTCTTGTGAATAATATTTTTTTTTTAATTTAACGGTGTGGGACCATCAATCATTTAATTTACACAGATTTTAATTAATTTTTTTGGATAAATATCTCTCACACGTCTTGACATTTAATTTTATTACACAGACATTTCCTCATATTTTAAATATGACACTGAAACCCTAATAAGTGAACGATGTTGTTAACAACGTTATTAAAAATACTATTTTGTCCTTAATTAATTGATCAAACTCAGGCCCGGATCTATACCCATCGCCCTATATCCAAGACAATACTCCATGATCCATGACCTATGACCTAAAACCCTTAATGCCCGAATCCCTAACAATTAGGCACCACCCATTTTCCCTTTTTCCTTGCACCACCCCCAACTTCCACCGTTTACAGTCACCACATATGAAGCATGGATACAAATACGAGATACGAATACGATACGATATCAGTACGGAGATACAACAAAACAAAAAAAATAGAATACGGGTCCGGTTAGAATACGTCTATAAAATATTTATTATTATATTTAATATAATAATTATAATTTATAAAGTAAATCACACTTCTATTAAAGATATATAGTAATAACTAACCATCAGAGTCAGTCGATCGTCAGTGTGAGTGAGTGGGNGCGATGTAATTATTTTAAGGATAAATATACTGATGAACTTGTTCTTGTGAATAATAATTTTTTTTTTAATTTAACGGTGCGGGACCATCAATCATTTAATTTACACAGATTTTAATTAATTTTTTTGGATAAATATCTCTCACACGTCTTGACGTTTAATTTTATTACACAGACATTTCCTCATATTTTAAATATGACACTGAAACCCTAATAAGTGAACGACGTTGTTAACAACATTATTAAAAATACTATTTTATCCTTAATTAATTGATCAAACTCAGGCCCGGATCTATACCCATCGCCCTATATCCAAGACAATACTCCATGATCCATGACCTATGACCTAAAACCCTTAATGCCCGAATCCCTAACAATTAGGCACCACCCATTTTCCCTTTTTCCTTGCACCACCCCCAACTTCCACCGTTTACAGTCACCACATATGAAGCATGGATACAAATACGAGATACGAATACGATACGATATCAGTACGGAGATACAACAAAACAAAAAAAATAGAATACGGGTCCGGTTAGAATACGTCTATAAAATATTTATTATTATATTTAATATAATAATTATAATTTATAAAGTAAATCACACTTCTATTAAAGATATATAGTAATAACTAACCATCAGAGTCAGTCGATCGTCAGTGTGAGTGAGTGGGAGAGAGAGAGAGAGAGACGATCGTCGTCGAGTATCGACTGAAGGGAGTGGGGGGCTTGACGGGTTGTGGAGGAAAAGTGTACAGGTTTAAGTCTTTTAGACTTTTAGTTTAATAATTTTTTTTTTACAAATAAGGGCCTAAATATATTGCTCTTGTGCCCCTATACTTTTATAAAATTAGAGTAATACCCCCGCCGTATCCTAGGCGTATTTCATGCGTATCCGGCCGTATCCGAAAATCAATTTTTTTTTTTTTTAATTTTAGGATACTTCTCAGACGTATCCGGTACGTATCTGACGCGCATCAGTATCCAAAAGTATCCGATACGAATACTTTGACTTTTTTGAAATATTCATGCTTCATAGGTTACCACACACTCTTTCTCTTTCTCTCTGTGTGCGTAGTCTTCCACACCTCCAACCTTTTTTCAATCTTATTCTACCTCCCTATCACAGTCGCCTTAGGAGAAGGCCACACCACCACTAAACTGACCCTCCATGATTCACAGCAAAACTCTCCCAAAACTCAAAAAATAGATCTGAGGCATAAATGTGATATCGAAAATATAGATATAAAAAAAATTGATCAAATCAAAGAACAAATTGCAGATCGCTAACAAAGCTTGCTCAAACAAATCATATAGCACGCGCGCGTGTGTGNTGAGGCATAAATGTGATATCGAAAATATAGATATAAAAAAAATTGATCAAATCAAAGAACAAATTGCAGATCGCTAACAAAGCTTGCTCAAACAAATCATATAGCACGCACGTGTGTGTGTGTGTGTTTATGTATGAGAGAGAAAGGGGGAAGGAAGGGAGAACTATCGTGAACTGTGCATATATAGTTGTTGATGGTGGTTTGGATGCATTTTGTGTGGTGGTAATGGTGAATAAAGGTGGTTGTTGGCAGTGTTTATTGGCAGTGGTTGATGATGGTATGAATCTAGATGGTTTGGTGTTGATTGAAGATAAGTTGGGTCCAAGTGGTGGTTTTAATGATGATGGAGACAAAGGTGGAGGTGGTTTTCAGTGTCTTTCTCTCTTTGTGTGGTGGTTGAGGCAGAGGTGGTTTTTAGTGGGTTGTTTTATGTGTGTGTGTGTGCGCGCGTGCGTGCGTGCGTGCTATCCCTTGTTATGATTGGATTTAGGCAGTTATGTAGGTGGTGGAAACGATGGTGATGGGAGGCGGCCGATGGGGGGAAGAATTTTTGTAATTAAATAAATAATAAATAAAATTAAAATTATATATGGAATAATTGAATAGGTAGTTATTAAGATTTTAACTTATTAATTTGATAGATTTGAAAATTAAACATTTAAGGGTTAAAATTCTAATTTATATATGAAATAAATGAGGGGTAAATTTGTAGGGGAAGAAAAATATATATTTAATTCTTAAGCCTAATTTTGGAGGGTATTTTTGGTATTTTAAGAATTGTTATTAATGACATCAACTTTGACTGTTAATAATTCTAAAGTCTGTTAGTGGGAGGGGCGGTGGCTGGTACAAGTTATAAATGTTAAGGAAGGTCAGTGTTATTCTTAAAATGTGAGGGTGTCCGTATAATACAATCAAATATTAGGAGGTGTAAGTGCTATTTACCCTAATTTTTTTTTATCCGATCAAACAAAGAGACAAGTTTGTCCCTATTGTCATGCTTGGTTTTGTGAATGGTAACTTAAGAGAAGCAATGGGTGCACCTGTCTTCATGCCATCGCATCATCATTCTTATACTCACCCCGCTGGCTTGGCTCGGCTTGGCTCTTCCGCTCTCCTCTATAAATTACTCTCCAAATTTCCCGAAACCTTCGCTCATCCGCCCCTTTCTCTAAAACAAACAAAAAACCTGTCTCTCTCTCTCTCCGCTGGAATATACCCCTCTCATGGACGTCCACCGGAGACTCCCTAAACCTCCCCTTCCCACCACCCCACACATCCAGCCCCACCATCGAGATACAGCCGTTGATCGCAGTCCTTCGCCTACCCCAAAGGCATCCGATGCACTTCCTCTCCCTCTATACCTGACCAACGGCATTTTCTTCACCCTATTCTTCTCCGTCGCTTACTACCTCCTCCACCGCTGGCGTGACAAGATCCGTACCTCTACTCCCCTTCACGTCGTCACTCTAACTGAACTCACCGCCATTGTCTCCCTCATAGCCTCCTTCATTTATCTTTTGGGCTTCTTTGGCATCGATTTCGTACAATCCTTCATTGCACGTGCCTCTCACGACGCATGGGACGACGTCGTTGACGACGAACGCTTCATCCTCAACCAAGATCGCCGCCGCCGCCGCAGCAACCCTTGCTCCGTCGCCCTCGATTGCCCCGTCAATATCGTCCCTACGCCAAAACTCATGGATCCTCCGATCCCTCTGTCGTCCGAAGAAGACGAAAAAATCGTAAAATTAGTGGTTTCTGGGATAATGCCCTCATATTCGCTCGAATCAAAGCTTGGGGACTGTTATCGTGCGGCCTTAATTCGGCGCGAGGCGGTGCAGAGAATTACAGGAAGGTCCCTTGCAGGATTGCCAATAGATGGGTTCGATTATGAGTCTATTTTGGGTCAATGTTGTGAGATGCCGGTGGGTTATGTGCAGATTCCAGTGGGGATTGTGGGTCCATTGTTACTTAATGGATGTGAATTCTCAGTCCCAATGGCGACGACTGAGGGATGTTTGGTTGCAAGTGCGAACAGAGGTTGTAAGGCGATATATGCATCAGGTGGTGCCACGAGCATTCTTCTGAGAGATGGGATGACCAGGGCGCCGGTTGTGAGATTCCCGACGGCGAAGAGGGCTTCGGAACTGAAGTTCTTTTTGGAAGACTCTGTTAATTTTGATACGTTGGCCGTGACTTTCAACAAGTAAGGCTCTTTTTTCTTGATTACTGGTTGGCGCAGGACCATTTGAGTTTTTTTTTTCCTCCTATTTTTATGGAACTTCTTTTTTTCTATTAAACCAAACAAAAAAGCTATTTCCATTGCAATCAGTAGATTGCTTGTGTTTTCCAACAAAACAGAATAGGTTTTAAAACGATTTTGTTTCTCAACCATAAATATCTCATCCCTCCACTTGAAGGATTCCGGCTGATCTGGCGGCACCGAGTCCCAGTAGCCTTTACCTCTCAGTGCCCGCAGGAGCTTCGTCTCACGTCGACTGAGTCGTCTCCCCCCTCGCATATAAGCCCTTTCACTCAAAGGAGGAGGTATCNTGACTTTCAACAAGTAAGGCTCTTTTTTCTTGATTACTGGTTGGCGCAGGACCATTTGAGTTTTTTTTTCCTCCTATTTTTATGGAACTTCTTTTTTTCTATTAAACCAAACAAAAAAGCTATTTCCATTGCAATCAGTAGATTGCTTGTGTTTTCCAACAAAACAGAATAGGTTTTAAAACGATTTTGTTTCTCAACCATAAATATCTCATCCCTCCACTTGAAGGATTCCGGCTGACCTGGCGGCACCGAGCCCCAGTAGCCTTTACCTCTCAGTGCCCGCAGGAGCTTCGTCTCACGTCGACTGAGTCGTCTCCCCCCCTCGCATATAAGCCCTTGCACTCAAACGAGGAGGTACCCACTAGCGACAGGGGCTCGGTGCCGCCAGGTCAGCCGGAATCCTTCAAGTGGAGGGATGAGATCCGTAGCGATTTCTACCCCTTACAAAAAGTCGCCTTTTTGTACGGATCTCATCCCTCAACTTGAAGGATTCCGGCTGACCTGACGGCACCGAGCCCCAGTAGCCTTTATCTCTCGGNCCTCTCAGTGCCCGCAGGAGCTTCGTCCCACATCGACTGAGAGTCGTCTCTCCCCCCTCGCATATAAGCCCNAGTGGGTACCTCCTCGTTTGAGTGCAAGGGCTTATATGCGAGGGGGGGAGACGACTCAGTCGACGTGAGNCTTACAAAAAGTCGCCTTTTTGTACGGATCTCATCCCTCAACTTGAAGGATTCCGGCTGACCTGACGGCACCGAGCCCCAGTAGCCTTTATCTCTCGGTGCCCGCAGGAGCTTCGTCCCACATCGACTGAGAGTCGTCTCCCCCCCTCGCATATAAGCCCTTGCACTCAAACGAGGAGGTACCCACTAGCGACAGGGGCTCGGTGCCGCCAGGTCAGCCGGAATCCTTCAAGTGGAGGGATGAGATCCGTAGCGATTTCTACACCTTACAAATTGGTTTAAATTTATTGTTACTACTATTGCTAATATACGGTAGTGCTTGTTTATGAAGCAATTCTAAGTCATTGTTCGGACAGTCTAGAAGATGGAACTGCCTTTATATGTAAATTTTTATTAAATCGATTAGCCAATTATTCTCTCGAGGTTCTAAGGCTAGTATTCAAATATGCAACTAAACCAAGTTACGAAAATAACAGCACCAATAACTCCTCTAATATAATGATTGTCTTAAAAATTGCAAGTTACACTTGGCTATAATATCCGGAAATCAATCCTGTTTAATAAAATCAAATTAGCCTTTCTTATCTGTCTTGTATACCCAACCCAATTTGAGAACAGCTTTTTTTTTTTTCCCAAAAGAGTTTCATTACCTTCATAAGATTTGTTTCTACTTTCCATGAGTACATTCACAAATGAGCAAAGCAAACTATTATTCTATAACTTCACCTTAACCACTCCAATGCTCATTTTCATTTTACACTTTTTGTCCCCAACATTTTGCCACATTTTCAACTTTGGTACGATCACGCAGTGCAGGCAAATGATAACAATATTTTTAACGGAATTATTCACATCCATTCTTTCACCTAGAAGTTGCCATTGCCTACGTATGCCTATATATTTCTTCACTTTGAACGTCATGAATTTTTCTAAACCATACAAGGCAATCTAATTTTTTTGCATCATTTTTTGGTTGGCATAGTTGTTGTCAGCTGGGGCAGTGGAAAGATGATCAAATGAATTGTGGTGCAACAATCCTTTAACAAGAAAAAAGAGAAAGTGTATAGGTTGGACTTATGCTGGCGTGCAATACAAATTCTAATTTAATTTTAAATTTTCAAACCTATTACGATTATTATTCCTAACGTATCCAACACAATTTGAAACTTTGACCTAAAATTGTTGAGGGGAAAATGGGTGAAAATAAAGCATAAATCAAATCCATGAACTAAAAGCCAAAGCTTAGGGAACAAATTTTCTTCCGAAAAGTAAAATGCCTTGCATAAGTTTTTGAACGTTAGCAGTGTATTGATAAAATTTTGAAGTTAAAAGAACTCGGAAGAAAAACAAAAATACTTCTATGAAGTATCAGTCAATGTTGGTAAATATTATGTTCTTCTGGTCCAAAAAGAATAAATGTTAGGTTTTTCGTTATTAAGTTTTCTATATCACTGGAACCAATTACTAGTCGTGCAAATCTTGGCCAGGCTTCCAAATTTAAAGGTATAATTTTAAGTGCTCATAGAGTCTGTATGCCTAAAGTTTGCTGATCTCCGTGGGCATTTTTGTTGATTTTACCTGTTAGATTTTAGGTTCGTGCTGCAGATTTATCAAAAAGAATTTATGAAGAAGGTTAAAGTATTATTTGTGAGTAAAATTTTGGCATTTTGAAGTTTTATAGGGTAGTCGGAGAAACAGTAACCAGATATTTAGGCACTTGCTAAAGATGGTTTTTGTACTACTGCTTGTGTGATGATTTGGACATTTTTGGCATTAAATGGTCAGCAAGTTTCTTATACATTTGATTGGGTTAGTCTTACATCATTCTAAAAATATTAAGCACAGCGTTTGGATTGATGCCTCAAATTTTTCCGTAGACTGTGTCCATATGATCACGTGCTTATGATTTTCTTCTTTATGTTCAAATTGCATAGTTTGAGGTTTCAAGTATGCCAGCATTGATGGTTTCTTCTAGAGGAGTGGCTTTTTTGATGTTTCGATAATTAGGATCTAGGATCATATCACTTGTTGCATATCAGACCAGCTTCTAGGATCATAACAATGTGTTTTCTGGACAGATCGAGTAGATTTGCTAGGCTCCAATCTATTCGGTGTTCTATTGCGGGTAAAAATCTTTATGTGAGATTTAGCTGCTTCACAGGTGATGCAATGGGGATGAATATGGTGTCCAAAGGTGTTCAGAATGTTTTGGACTTCCTTCAAAATGATTTCCCAGACATGGATGTTATTGGTATATCTGGTGAGTTGTCATTCCATCTCAACTTTGATGAAAAATTGTGATTCCTAACATGCGAATTTGGCTTGGGAAACTTATAATGTTGTCAATCTAGAATCATCTAATTCTTGAGGCCTTGGTGATTCTGTCACCATGCTGCATAGACGTTCTCTTATGGCCATCAATTTTTTGTGGCAAGGTCATAAAATACAAATGTTAGTGTCAATTTTCTAAATTTTGCTATTTGTGTGAACTCAATTTTATCATTACAACAATTCAGTTTGGTCATTTAAATTTTCACCTGCACTGTTCAAGGTAATCAATTTTTTGCTTTCATCATATTCTGTGTTTATAGCAACACACTTGGCATATTATATGCGAGTGATTGTTTTGAAAATGCTATAATCTTTTGGTTCCGGTACATTTCATTTTTGTTTTCGAAGATACATCATTAATTTTGCTGAATCCATCTTTCTGTGGGAAAGTTTCCTCATGTGTAACTCTTAATCACCCAGGGAACTTTTGTTCCGATAAGAAACCAGCTGCAGTTAATTGGATTGAAGGTCGTGGAAAGTCGGTTGTTTGTGAGGCAATCGTCACTGAAGAGGTCGTACAGAAGGTTTTGAAAACCAGTGTCCCTGCCCTTGTAGAGCTTAACATGCTGAAGAACCTTACTGGTTCTGCTGTTGCTGGTTCTCTTGGTGGTTTCAATGCCCATGCTGCCAATATCGTCTCTGCAATTTTTATAGCCACTGGGCAAGATCCGGCACAAAATATTGAAAGTTCTCACTGCATTACTATGATGGAAGCTGTCAATGATGGGAAGGATCTTCACGTGTCTGTCACCATGCCTTCAATTGAGGTATTTAACATTCTATTCAAACTTTTCATTTGCTGATACTCTGGCTGACTTCTACTTTAGCCAATATTTTTTCTTATCCTTTTAATTACCAAATAAAAGTGGGATAGAGGGATTGTATGTGCTTGGGAGTAGACTGGTACTCATGTGGGATGGGCGGTGGCTTAGTCAGGAATTTGTATCCTTTGGNTTATCCTTTTAATTACCAAATAAAAGTGGGATAGAGGGATTGTATGTGCTTGGGAGCAGACTGGTACTCATGTGGGATGGGCGGTGGCTTAGTCAGGAATTTGTATCCTTTTGTAATTTAAAAACCTAAGCTGTACAATTGCTATAAAAGTCGATTTGCACACTTACCAATAGCACATCACCTAGCTTAAATTTATACCAATATTAATTTAAGATTTTCAATTCGTAAGTAGAAGAAGAAACCCAAGTTTTATGGACTGCAAGAGTTTGTAATGCAAACTCAAATCTACGTTTTCCCCCCCCCCCCCCCCAAAAAAAAAAAAAAAATCCATTGAATTTTTGACAGTTGATCTCAATGACTCAACTTACTCAATCATCTCAATGGGAGCTGTATAAGCAACCCACTAAATAATTACTAATAAACCATGTACATCAATTTCTTTCCAAAGTTGATGTGGGACTGAATGTGCTCAGGAGGATAGGACAGTGCTTTAAGAGTCCTACTTACCTTATTTTTAACAAAAGAAAAATTATATAGAAAAGATGGGTGGTTTCTTTCATTTTGATACTTTTGAAGACATTGTGGTAAACTTTGCATATAGAACTATGTTGAGTGCTGAGAACCTGACGTTTCCAATTCCAATAGCCATCTTTCAATTTCAATTGGAAGCATCAAGTGTTAGGTACGAGTATATTTAAAATTTACTATAATGTTTGTTAAGTTATCTTCAAAAATTTGATGTTCGCTTATTGATACTCTTTCCAGGTGGGTACTGTCGGAGGTGGGACTCAACTTGCATCTCAATCTGCTTGCTTGAATTTGCTTGGGGTGAAGGGTGCATGCAAAGAGTCGGCGGGATCAAATGCCAGGCTCTTGGCCACCATTATAGCTGGTTCAGTTTTGGCAGGAGAGCTCTCATTAATGTCTGCCATTGCAGCTGGGCAGCTTGTTAAGAGTCACATGAAATACAACAGATCAAGCAGGGATGTTACCAAAGTTAGTTCTTAGGAGGAGAGAACTCGAATCAAATATTTTGAAAACAGTGCCAGCGCTGGGGAGGAAAAAGGCAAACATAGCCCATGTGAGGTTTCTTTTTGTCATAGCTGTAAAGCTTGTAATCATGTGAAGTTGATAGATGAAGCTGACCTGCCTGCTCTTTCTCTCTCTCTCTCTCTCCCCCCCCCCCTCCTCCGTGTGTGTGTGTGCGTGTGTAGTCAATCCCTAGCACCTTGTGGCCATTATAGCCCCCAAATATTTATTCTTTGCTGTCCCAGTTGGGAATTTGGAATCATTGTCCCCCCTTCTTGTTGGTTCTGTGTAATTGTTTGTCCTCAAGAAACGATTCACAGGGTTTCTTGTTTTTATCTTTGTCACTATATGTACAGGTTGAAAATTTCCCGGACCTGACTTCAGATGGCTCATTTTTTTGACTTTAGCTCATTGGTTGTAATCATTTGAATTATTTGCTGGGGGGATAATATGAATGTTCTTTAATGATTAAGTTTTGCTATCTATCTGCATCAAAGCAGCTGCCTTTTTGTGTGTGAGCTTGCTGACCTGTTTAATTTGTGGAAGATCAAAATGGATGTTGTGGTGGTGTACAAGACATTGGCACCTTGTTGCATCACACGCATCCTGTCTCTGCATTGATACTCGGATCCTCTCTCATGCTAATGTTCGCGTTTATAGAGAACCAGATATCGTTTTGCAATTAATTTTGAATAGTTGCAATAAAATAGCTGAAGCAGAGATTATAGGCTTGGCCAAAGCGACCTAATTTTTTACTTCTCAAGCACCAAAGATTTCTGGCCCCAAGGGTCACCTTAAAAATTGTGCCCAAACTCTTATGGGTTATTGTAGACCCTAGCATGTATATAGCTATAACTCAGCCATGTAGTTGAGGATGACAATTGTTGGGATTGTAGACACCAAACCAATGTATGTATATTGTTGTGAAAGTCAGTTGGATTAAGCAAAAGCANATTGTAGACCCTAGCATGTATATAGCTATAACTCAGCCATGTAGTTGAGGATGACAGTTGTTGGGATTGTAGACACCAAACCAATGTATGTATATTGTTGTGAAAGTCAGTTGGATTAAGCAAAAGCACAGGCCACGGTAGTAGGTAATGCTTGTTGAAGTTGATGATCTGACCAAATATTTTTGAATAAACTCTATTTAAAATGACAGGACTTCAATAATAATACATTAAAGGAAAGAAGGGGCAGTAGAACTGAGAAAAGCCCAAGAACAACCCAATCAAATGAACTCTTAAATGGAGAAGAAGCAGAACGCTGCACAATGCGCAAGTGTTTCGTAGGCAATTGTATGGGAGGAGGAAGTAATTTAAGCTCATGGGTCGTGGCTGGAGCTCTAGCTATCTTATTTTCTTTGGGTCAAGCCCTCTCCACATCTCAAAAGGGAGCAACCCAAAAGCTACTTTTTAATTCCCTCCATTAATTACACAGTAATGCATCTCTCTCACAGGATCGATATATAGGAACAAGAAGAGAAGCAACAAAATATCTGTAATTGGCTTCACTGGGTCGCAAACTGCTGATGTTGAGTTGGGGTTTTACCGCATCCATATTTATAATAAAGAATGATTTTCCCTCTTTGGAAGCAAATGCAACATAAACATATTTTTGAATTAGAAATGATGGGTCAATAAGCATGGTAAACAGATTTTTGTAAACCTTTTGGTTGTCTATTGGACTGGACCGGACTGGACTGGACTGGGTTTTGAGTGATAGTGGTACTTGACTTGAGGATACTAAGTTTGTGCAAATAGCTGGGGCCAAACCCTACTAGTAGATCAATTTTATTTCCTGTTTGACTACATGTAACTTGTTATGAGAAAGAGAGTTCCAAATGTATGTATAGTGGTTTACGCCAGTCGTCCCAGTTCCACCCATACTGATACTGGATGGATTGGTATTTGTATTCTATTCGCATGGCATGGCATCTTCTTGTCTGTCTCACCCCCAAACCCAATGTTTGTACGTGTACAAGGGTGGAGGCTGAGCACGTGAACTAATAATAATCCCTGTTGCTGTTGGCTGCTGCTCCACGACGTCCAACTGCTAACAATATCCATCACAAATTGAATTGGTATATAAAGTTTTACTCCTCCCCATCTATCATCAGTCCAGCAGCCGTGAGTTCAGGTGAACAAAGAAAAATAGCATTGGTCTTTGTGAGACGGGGTTTGGTATTGGTATTGGTATTGGTATTGGTATTGGTATTGGTAGACTACTTCAACTCAAGTGGACTGGAACTGTTAGCAAAGTAAAGCAGGCCAAAAACACTTATAAATAAATAAATTCAGTTCAATCATTTCCGCTCACTGTCATCCACATCACATGTATTATATAATTAAGCATTTAAGACCGAAAAGCTTAATTAGGGTGGCTAAGTGGATCCAGGTTGGGGTGGGGTGGGGTCAACCCAGCCGGCCCCGACGAAAGAAGATTCGTATTACAAAAACGACAATGCAAGTTGGGGCCTGGTGGCTACCACATGGACACATTTCCTGTTGCTGTACTTTCATAATGAAGCCATCTGCAACTTGCAAGTAGTGAGTGGCGCAGCGCTTAATTAATTCACCCTTAATTATTTCATTACTATCTGATCCCCTTTTAATGTTTCAAAGTTGGATATTCTTTGTGGGTCTTCCCTACCTAGTATTTTGTGACTTTATAATATTTTTGGACGCAAAATGCAAATGTAACCACCTGATTAACCCAAATTTAATTAATACCTTCCTCCTCTTTTGTTAACAATACATATAATTAATACTAGCTCTAGCTGCTACTTACCAAAAAACAATAATACATATAATAATACTGAATTTTCCAATATTTGAAGAAATGGATGGGTGACGAAAATAAACCTAAGAATGTCACCAATAGCATCTTATGGTTTTAATATTGTCAACCATTTCGTTCATACACAATTTGTATCATCTGGTCGAGTAAGAACGGACGCTAATCACTTGATCGAGCAATTGAGAGTATCTTTTTACTTTCTTTGTATTTAGTGCGTCATGCAGACTAAACTAAATACAAGAACAAGGACGAAATATATATATTTATTTATCATACAAATCAGGATAAATTATTAATACATGGGATGGATAGCCTACAAATTAAGAAAGGAATTGCTTCGCAAGAAAGAGAGAGATCACATAGAGACCAGTGCCTAATTTTGTTTCTGCACATGTCAAGGCATTAGAATAGGGTTAGGGTGAAGGTTTGGTTTCTGTTCTGCATGTTGCCACTAAAATAAATAAATGAATAATCAAAATGAAATTAGATCATACTCGGTGCACAAGATTTTCACTTCACTCTTAGTGGTGTTTAGAAGAGATAAAGTGTTAGATTCGTCCAAATATTTAAAGATTCCTTCTCAAACATAAACCAGCAGAGTAATGCTAGCAAAAATAGACACTTATTATTGCTCAAAATCTGGCCTCTTCTTAGAAAAATAAAGTGTAAGATGCTGCTGGCTAAAAACCATCTCGACGTAATTAACTAACTACCTTCCTTTTTGGTGGCTTGAAAAGAGATTAGATTGTTAAGTAATTTTATTTATATTGAGAATGAAGATGCTTATATTGCATGTCAAGTGATTCTTATCTTTGAGGTTGATATCATCGATGATCTGCTTTAAATAGTTGATGGATGAGTTTTTAACAATCAATGTTGGTTTGAAAAAGCTCACTGGGAATCGATTCCAGACTAGGTAATATGATTGGTCACGGATTGATCATACAATATCAAATATTGGATATCTATATAAACAAGATGATTGTCCGACCGACTCACCTCACCTCAACTAATATTGAAGAAGTCTTTCTTATTTTTGTATTTATTTCCGAATCCTCCAGCCCTGCCTTAGGGATAAATCTTGGATTGGAAAAATAGTCNTATAAACAAGATGATTGTCCGACCGACTCACCTCACCTCAACTAATATTGAAGAAGTCTTTCTTATTTTTGTATTTATTTCCGAATCCTCCAGTCCTGCCTTAGTGTAAATCTTGGATTGGAAAAATAGTCCCCCCCGGCCGAGACATAAAAATAATATAATCCTGCCTATTTTTTGCTTATTTCCTGTTAAATAACATATAATATTAGGATATATTTGTTTCCAATAAAGCTCGTTTATTCTTTCTTTGACTTCTCTTTCTTTGTATATATCCGCCCCATCNAAAAATAGTCCCCCCCGGCCGAGACATAAAAATAATATAATCCTGCCTATTTTTTGCTTATTTCCTGTTAAATAACATATAATATTAGGATATATTTGTTTTCAATAAAGCTCGTTTATTCTTTCTTTGACTTCTCTTTCTTTGTATATATCCGCCCCACCTTGTTTCGTAAAAGATGATAATATGATCACGTACAATTAATATTGAGAATTATATGGGTAAAAAATCTGCATATATAACTAATTGGAGAGATGGTGAACCATGCCTCTACTCTACTCCCACGGGATTTTGAGTACATGTACACCATGCCACATGTTCCCTTCGCTCACCCTCTCCTTGAATTAACCCCTCATGAAAGTACATTATTGAATGAAATATTTAATCTATTTTAATTAGAGATAGTGATCTCCATTCAAACCTCGTCATATAGTAAGTTTGTGCATTCAATTTCAATCTAAAGTCGCAATACAAAAAAGGAAAAATTGGCTTTCCAATCCATGAACTTGGAAAACAAGTAGGGTAGCGATGCAGCCGCCGATCCCAAATGGGTGTGGTTCAATAGGGTTCACTAGACAATAAAAGCAGAATAATTTTCACTTGAGACTAGGAAATAATAATCATAGCTTACACTTAAGAGTTCCTTCGCCGACCATTTACGCTATAGTCTTCGCTTGGTTTGGTTTGGAATTCAAAGCTACCCTTCATGTGTTGCNAATTTTCCAATATTTGAAGAAATGGATGGGTGACGAAAATAAACCTAAGAATGTCACCAATAGCATCTTATGGTTTTAATATT